CTAATTCCATGGTCAGTAGTTTTGATCATAATTATTACGTTTACAATAGATGGAAAAAATGAAATAATATTTTTAAATGCATGCACCCCCATAAAATCAACCTTTATCCTGCCACTTACTATAATGAGTCACTTGCAAAATGGCAAACAAATTAGGCTAACTAGGAGCTATTGACAAATGAAATGAGAGCGTAATTGTAGTGTCTATGTAAATGGTGCTTAACATCCAGATAAAGTCATACAAAAACATTCAGTTATCTGTGTATTTCTAAATATTCTGACTTTTTATAAAAGCAGCTAATGATAGTTCATATACAGTAGCAACAGCAGCATACCAAAAACTGCTAAACGCCAAATTTAAATTAATAATGAAGCAGTCAGTGCCTAGTGCAATTAGATAGAGCCCCAGGCCAGGAGTTCCAGAGCGTGGGCTCAGTTCTGGGATGAGCAATGTGAATCTGACTGTAGTCAAGTCTCAGGTGTAGATTACTAGAGGTAAAAGGGTGTTAGAGATGAGCTAGCCATGCCCCACATTATAATCAAGAAAACTGAGGCTCTGAGAGGTGACATGACTAAGCCACAGTCACAGATAGTTAGTGGCAGGACCAAGACCAGAACCAGTGCTTCCAACACCCAGTCACAGAACCCTTGCCCCTGTTCCACTTCTCCTTACAAATAATTCCTCATTTATAGAGGACAATTGCACATGTTTGCTTCTTCCTCACAGAGGTGCTGGGAAGACAACTGGAAATAATTGGTGTGAGTGACTATGTGCCTGCTCTTATTTGAATAAATTCAGTGAGATAACCAGTGTTTGTGGGGTGAGTGCTGTTTCAGGCAAAATTATGTCTGGCTGTCTGTATACATCCCCCCAATGCCCGGGGTTTTAAGCAAGTAGGACTGGAGTTTCTCAATGGGGGCATTATTAGCATTTTAGGGAGAACAATTCTTGCCAGTATGGGGTTGCCCTCCCCCACTGCAGAATGCACAATACACACTTCAGCCTGATTTAGGAAATAATATGGGAGTTATTATTCCCTCTCCTTGAGCATAGAGACTGTGACCCAGCTGGAGCTGGGCTCACAAGGACTCACAAGGACACATCAACTGGGCCCTGAGGTATAAAGACAATGGCTAAGATAATCTTGGAAAATATCTTTTAGGGAAACTTTCACATAAAGCCAATCAAACAGAACACGAAAGACTTTCCACTCTTATCTTTTGCTATTAGCATTTAGTGAATAGAAATTTGTTGGACCAATGAAGACCCTCCTGACTCTCGTTACTTAAACCTGTACCAATGATTGTTAAGAAAGACAATTGAAAATGTAGGATCACAGTTTCTAGCCAATCTGTGAACAGGTGAAGCTTTCAATGGTTTTGCCCACTTGTAATGTTAATATACACTGATGGCTCTGTAATATTCTTTGGACTCGGGCAGACATGGCTGTGGTAGTATGTTTGTCCATTTTCCCATTCTTGCCTATTCTGTAATATTCTTTGGACTTGGACAGACATGGCTGTGGCTGCATGTTTGTTGGTTTTCCCACTTTTGTCTGTTCTGTGATATTTCCTTGGACTTGGACAGACATGGCTCTGGCAGCATGGTTGTCTGTTTCCCACTTCTGCCCTTTTGAATATATGCCGAATAAAACTTTCTTTTGCTTTACTAAACTTTATGATGTTTTTCCCCTACAACAGGCCCCAGGTACTCAATAGCAGTAGCACCTCCCAGTCAGGGCTCACCCTAGCGTGAGGCAGTTTAAAAAATCAAAATTAATGCAAAAATATCCAGGATGAACAAAATACCAACATTTTAATAAAGACAGGATCAGTATTACTGATTTTTCCTTTTGCCTCAGGCTCCAATATGACTCTGGCGGCTCAGTTACTGATCTCATCTTTATTTAAAATGTTGCAATTTTGTTCATCCTGGATTTTTTGCATTAATTTTGATTTTGTAAAGACATTGCATTAAAATATTATCTTGATTACTGAGCTTTTTGGCACCCCTTAAATTTTGCACTCAAAGCGAGTGCCTCACTTGCCTCACCCTAGTCTGGCCCTGCTCCCAGTCATCACAACAACCAAAACACCTCCACACATTTCTGAATGCCCCCCCAGGTTGAGAACCTCTTAAATAGGGGCTGCTATTTCTCATACAACAGGAAGTCCAGATAGAGAGGCAGCCAGGGGCTGGAATACTGGCTCCCTGATGCCTTGGTCCCTTTATCTCTGCGTTGTGCTCACAAGATGGCTACTGCACCCCGAGGAACGGTGTCCTAGTTCCAGGCAGGAAAACAATGGTAGGTCAAAGGGCAGGAAAAGAGTACCAGCTAATCCTCTTTTTACTAGACAAACAATAATTTTCCCAGGAGACTCACCCAATAAACCTTAACTCATATATCACTAGCCAGAACTCAGTACTATGGCCAGCCCTAGCTGTAAGGAGCCTGGGGAAGTGAACATTTTTAAGTGGGCACATTTCCAGCCAGAATAAAACTGGAGTTTTGTCTGTAAGAATGAAAGGGAGAATGAATAAAGGAAAAACAGCTAGAAGTATCCGCCATGGGGGCCAGGCAGGATAATCAACCGTGGCTCTTTTTGGTGCTTGCAAATAGTATCTTCTCTGCTTACAATTTGATGGGCTGCCTGAGCAGAGCATTTTGATGGTGACTGTTAGAATTATGGCTAAAACCTGGAATGTGGTCTTATGTTGGGTTCCACAGAAGCATAGCCTGAAACAGGGATTTAGATGCATGTGATTTATTAAAGGTGCACTCTTGGGAGAAACCTGTACAGGAGTGAGGGAAGTGGAAATGAGCTACACAAGGAAGTGTTTTTAGGTGAAGCTGAGCTTGGCCTGATGCCCACGGGGCTATGGAGCCTAAATCATCCAGAAAGGCCCTGCCTGGAGGCAAGAAGCTGAACTTTGCACCCTTGACTCATCAGTCATTGGCTGCACCCGCTCTGCCCCACCCCAACCCCAGCTTGGAAGGACGGGGCAAGTGTAATCTCCCAGGCGTCTCTGGGAGATGCAACTCCCATCAGCCAAGAGCAATTCTCCAGAGGGCTGCAGGTGTGAGCTGTTTCTCAAAGCACTTGCAGCAGCTGGGGGAATGGACACATTGCCCCTCATGTGGGTCTGGGAGGGCACCAGCAGCATCTACTACAAATATTTTTGATACACTTTCCAAAGAATTATCTTTATTTTTACTTAGTATTGTTTGAAGAGTGTTTATTCTAGATATATTGCTATGATTAAAAGCCATTGCAAAAACTCGCATTGAGTTGAAAATGTCTCATTTTTAAGAAAAATGATTAACAGGTGTTGACTTGTTTTGTTGAACCACAAATGTAGAAAGTGCTTTATAATTTGCTCTGGGTATTAACTGGGATCCGGTCTGTAGTTCACAATCTCATCAGAGCACGTAAATATTTCATAGTCTTAGTGTCTCATTTAAAGCTCAATGAATATTTAATTATAGCTGACCAATAAAATAACTGAAAGAATTGTTACATTTAGTTAAGACCTGAAATGAGCAAGCTCTTCATTTTCTCAAGCAGTTTGAAACTAAAATTATTACAACTTCATGAAATATTCCATATAATTTTATAAGTAATTAAAAGGCTGCAAAACAGGCTTGAAAGGCACATATTAAATATCGAGAAAAACATTAAATATAATGAATTTTCAACTTTAAATGCAAGAAAATAGTTTAATGCATTGTGGTCTACGACATTACTTATTCAGCAGTGGATTAGGTTAAGATATTGTCAATACCCTCTTTTTGAGACAAGAAGTAAAAACAGAATCTTTTATTTGGCCCTTGAAAATTTAAATATTCTAGAATAATGATTGAGAGTAACAGAAAACTATGTATAATCCATCCAAGTAAGTCAGCCAAGAAATAATTTCTGAACTCTGGGTCCAGTACTGAACCGGTACTGAAAATAATCAAAGAAAAAGAAATATTGGCCCATGTCTTAAGTACATGGTTTCCCAGGAAAGAAGCTTCCCAGTGGTCTGTCAGAATTCCACAAGTGTCAGACATGAGCTTCAAAACACATGTGTGCTCTAACCAATCTACCTGGACACAGATGACATGGGATATGTCATTTCTACCACATCTGAGGACATTTTAAATGGAATCAAAGCATTGCCAACCAATCCATGTTAAGGCTGCTAAATCACACTTAGTAAATTTAGTATCATATGATAAAGGTTTGAATTCTTGATCTATCTAGTCCTGAATTATTTTTTTAATTATGGCATCTAAAATAATCTAATAACACAGGTCATTTTTGGAGAGTGATAGAGGGTTTTCTGATAAACACAGCATATCTGTATAGCTGGCTTAAGGGAAACAACTGGTTGTCATGGTTTTTTTCTTTGATCTTAGTCCCTTTTCAAGATATTCAAATGAATTACCTTTTTCACCTGTCAAGATCTCTGTATATATGTGTGTGTGTGTTATGTGTACAGACATATATATTACAAAAGTCAAAGTCTTGTCTAATAATGGTGCCTTCTTCCCTTCACTTTTATAATTCTTGCCACTGCACCCTTCAGTCCATACGGATGGGGAATCAGTTAATATGGAGAAAACAAGGCATCTTTCGTTCCTACTTAATGCCACATTTAGAGTCAAATAAAATTAATTAATGGCAACTCACTAAGCAACAGTGACAGCCTGACCAGACTCTCAGTGTCTACAGAAGGGCAGAATATCCTATCCAGAGAAGGAGATGAAAGAAAGGCTGGTGAGCATTAGCCAAGGAAGATGAATATTGGGTATCCTTCAATCAATATGCCTGGTTAGAAACAGCATAGCAGTGACCATTTTCTCTTTGTTTAGGGTATTTTTGTTCTTGAATTTGTCTTTTCAGAAGACATAGCCTTAACATTTACATCAAGGATTCCTATCTTCTCAAATCTATTTAGTATTTAGTACACGTAAAATTTTAAGATTGCATTTCTCTCAATGTCATGTGACTTACCTGTTTGTCAAAAGCTACCCATGATGGTACATCAGATTCTGTTCCTTTAGGATACATACTATATTTAGGCTTCAGCTTTTGCCCGAAAAGCGGTTCTCCACCTATTCCAGGTTTCTCGTCACTCACCAGCATCCTAACATTGTTGCAAAAGCCCCAATGTTGAGATTTGTGGAACTTCTCCTTTCCTACCTGTGAACCAAGAGACAACATAAAATGGTGGAAGTTACGCTTCATGATTTTTCTTCTTTGTTTTAAAATGTAAACACATTTTCCCATCACTTATTTTTCCCACTGTAAAAATATAAAGTGGCAAATAATTATGATCAATCTTTATACATAATGCTGTTTCACATTTTAAATTCAATTCATCTTAACAAATTCAAAACTTTGAAAAGCAGTAAGAATAAATCCAATACTTTGTGCTATTTGAAACATTTAAAAATAAGTATTACTGCAAGTGAACATTTAGAACATTAGCTTGCTAATTGGTCTTTTCTGCTTATTTGCCAAGAATGCACACAGAAAGGAAAAAAAATCCTCTACTTCAGAGTAAAAAATGTAACAGTTTTTCCACAGAAGTCTAAACATTATTTTCACCAAAACAGAGAATAAAATCTTTTCCTCATTAAAATAAATGTAACAATAGGAAATTTCCTCAGAACTGACTTTCTCCTCATAATTGTAAAACCTCGCTCCCCTCTTCCCTACTCCCCTCCTGCCTTTTCTGGTGATCTGGATAAAGAGTGGAAAATGTACAGATAATAACACTAAGGGTTTGGTAAGAATGTACACCCACATCAACTCTTATACACTGCTAGTGGGAAAGGGAATTAGAAGCAGCCACTCTGAGGAGAGATTTGACAATGACCTATATGACCGAGCAATTCCGTTCCTAAAAATCTCTTGCACCTGTGCATAAGGAGCTACGTATCAGATTATTTACATGTTACATCAGTGTTTGTAAAAATGGCAAATAGGAAACAATCTAAATGTCTATCAATAGCAGAAAAGATACATTAATTGTGCTGTCTTTATAAAATGGAATATTAATACAGAGGCCTAAAACTACATGTATCAATATGGACAGATCTCAAAAATGTCAAGCAAAAAAAAAAAATAGTAGTACAAGGGCACATAAAATTTGGTAATTCCACATATATAAAACTTGAAAACACTAAAAGATATATAGTATTATTTATGGATAATACATCCATGGAAATAATAAGCATCAAATTCAAGATAATATAACAATATATCATATCATTTATATATTATAGCATTATATTATCAAATATCTATATAACTACACATAAAAAATAAAATATTTCAGATATAATTGAAGCCCTGTGCATCCGCTCTCTGAGTTCATGCCCCTGCCTCTCTCTCCAGAGGTAATCATTATCTTGAATTTGCTGTTTACCATTTCCATGGATGTATTATCCATAAATAACACTGTATATTTGAGTATTTTCAAGCTTGATATGTGTGGAATTATCAAATTTTAAGTGTCGTTCCACTAGCTTATTATTTTTTTTGCTCATTTATTTTTTAGTTTGTCCTTATTGATACATGTAATTTTAGACCTCCATAGTAATATTCCATTTTATAAAGCGAGCATAATTGATGTGTCTTTTCTGCTATTTGATTACCTCTGGAAAGGGAGACAGGAACGTGAACTCAGGGAGAGGGTACACACACCAGGCCTTCAATTTATCTGAAACTTTTACTGTTTATGTAGAGTTGCTGGTATATAAATGTCCCTTATGTTATTAGCTATGGTTTTAAATGTGAAGACACCAAAATACATGAATATATAAATAAAAGCCCATAGCTTCTGGTGCCAGCCAGACCTGCACTGCATCCTGGCTTCACCACTTACTGAGATCTGGGAGAGGCAGTTAACTTCTCTGGGTCCCCATCTCCTTGGTAAAGAGGGAACAGTAATCACCAGGGGGTGGAGGTGCTGGGAGATAAAACGTTTATAAAGCCCCTTGCACTCACAGTGCCTGATGGGGGAGTGTGATGGGGGTGGGGGGGTGAATATGTGGCAAACTGAGCACTCTGCCCTCTTCCTTGGGTTTTCTGTATAGGAAAGTTTCAGATCATCTTGTGTTTCTCAAAGGAGATGCTTTTCACATTTAGGAAAAGACAATGCTTCATTTTTCACGACTGCCCTGCTCCACTGCCGAAAGTATAGCATGCTTGGCTCCAACTCAGTAAATGCCAATAACGCACTACAGTAACTGTCGCAAAAACAGTAACCATGATTCTATGGCACTATAAAAATGTAAGAACACTTTGCCAGGACTGTATACAGCCAGGGTAGTAGCCTCTTTTGCAAAGTCATAAACAAAAAACCAAACCCACTGCCGGTGAGTCGATTCAGACTCATAGTAACCCTACAGAACAGAGTAGAGCTACCCCGAAGGGTTTCCAAGGAGCGGCTGGTGGATTTGAACTGCTGACCTTTTGGGTAGCAGCCGAGCTCTTAACCACTGTGCCACCAGGGCAAAGCCACAGCAGAGTCGAAAAGACCTTATTTCCTTTTGTGGTAGAGGCAGCCGAAGAATGGGGAAGGGCCTGAGCAGCCCTGCTCAGGAGAGCCAGGACCACGACAGCAGCTGTGGGCAGATAAACAGCCCAGCTCTAAGGCTGGGAGGAGGAAAGCTAGAAGTAATGGATGGGATGGTGTGCTGTGGCCTGGCTCTGTCGTTTAGGGAATCAGTTGCCACCACTTCCAACTCTCCTCCTCCCCGTCACACAGTCACACATAATACTCCAGTTACCACAAGGAAGTCCCAAATCACCAAAGAGCAAGGCAAAGGTATTCATTAAAGTTGGCTTTGTCAAAATGAATGGTGGAATGATTTAGAATTTTTTAACAATGCTCCCTCTTCTAAAGCAAGTAATTTCTGGTAATCATAAACTCACCTAAGGTCAAATCAACAAGCGTTTCTTAAATATTTACTACATGCTGAGCTTTGTACTAGTTAAAATCAGCATAAGACTCAGCCCCTGTCCTGAAGAAAAAACCCACAATCTTGCTGATGAGGTAAGATTTAAATATAGAAAACAGTACAGCTACCACTTTTTGACCACTTACTATGAGCTGGATCCTTTGCTAAGGGCTTTCTATACATTATCTCATTTCATTGTCACAAAACTATTTGATAGGTATTATTACTGCCATTTTACCAATGAGGAAACTGAGGCAGAGAGAGGCAGACCCGCACACCCAAGGTTACACAGAAACTAGTGGAACTTTCATTTGAACCTAAGTTTATGTGACCCCAGGCTCTAGTAAGTTCAACCAACCAGGACCATACACTATTGGCTGAGGTAGTAGTGCTTGAGGTTTAGTGGATAACTGGACACTGTCTTGGGCCTGGAGGGATGGGTTGAATTAGACAGGAGAGGAGAGGCAAGGGTGTTCCAGACAGGGTTATGAGTGATGCACTGCAGCTGGGCTGACGCCACCTAGTGGGAGGGGCATTAGACCAGCCAGTCTGATAAAAAGGACAAGTTTAAGTTTGGAAGGAGGGAAAGATGGAATAGAATATGGAAGGAGGTCAATGTTATGGAGAGCCTCACATTTAAATATCTTAGACATCTCCTTCATCAGGCCACTGGAATATCAATGGAGGCCTAGCACCAGCAGGAGCCCCACAAGATTTTATTTGATTGGGCCAGGCAGTGCTGGATTGAATGATGATAGTACAGAAAAGAAGTCCAAGACTGAGCCCTAAGAAATTCCAAGGTTAGATCAGGGAGATGTGGTAGAACTAAAAAAGGAGACTGAAAAAAAGTAGCCGGTGACACAGGAAGAAAACCAGGAGACTTTAGTATCATGGAAACTATGTAAAGAAAGCATCTGAAGAAGGGGGCATGATTAACTGTGTCAAATGAGATGAGGTTTGAGACTTGACCCTTGAATTGGCAACATGGTGATCTTGACGAGAATGGTTTCACAGAGTCATAGGGACAAAAATAACCTTGTGAATTGTACAGCTCTTTAAATAACTGTGTAAGGTATTTAAAATCAAAACTATTGTGTTTCTAATATTTCTTTGTCCACATTGCCTGGCTTAAAAAAAAAAAAACCATTGCTGTCAAGTCGATTCCACCCTATAGCGATCCTATAGGACAGAGGAGAACTGCCCCACAGGGTTTCCAAGGAGCAGCTGGTGGATTCGAACTGCCAACCTTTTGGTTAGCAGTCATATAGCTCTTAACCACTGCACTACCAGGGCTCTAGTACTGCCCAGCTTAGTCTCCCTTAAATCTACTGATTAAACACTGGGATTCTGGGAAATCAAGAAAAGAACTAGGGAGTAGTGGTATAAACTTGACACCAGAAAGGATAGAGCAGGAGATTAGCAGCCTGGTGTTCACATTCCAGCTTTGCCACTTATGGTCCATGTGATTCTGGACCATTCACTTCACTTCTCTAGAGGCCTCTAACATTGCCATCTCTAACGTGAGAATAATAATACTTGCCTCACGGGACAGTGGTTAGGACTGAGAGAATATCTGTGACTGTGCCTGCCTGTTAACATTTATTGTCTCCTCAAGGGGAAGCACTTGATACTGGCTTTTAGAGATAGCTGGGTTAGAACTCCAGTAAAAAAAGGTGCAAGTATTATTCCCTAAGTAACCAATCTGAAAGCTAATACCTTCTTTTCCACAAATATATTTTATAGAATATTTTTATAATTAATATATAATGAATATTTTATAGGACTTAGAACTTAATTTTCTGTATTTGATTACATAATTTTATAGATTTATATCTACTTTTATGATATTATTGGTCACAGTGTTTGTTTCATGAATCACCTAGGTAATTCACACATGTTCATGAAACAAATACATGACCAATATCATTTAAAAAATTTATACATGTTCATGAAACAAGTATTATTTTATTTTTTTCAATGTTTTTTATTGTACTTTAGATGAAGTTTTATAGACCAAATAGTTTCTCATTAAACAGTCAGTACACATAGTGTTTTATGACATTGGTTAACAACCCCAAGACATGTCAACACTCTCCCTTCTTGACTTTGGAGGACCTTTTTTTTTGGTAAAAATATACATAGCCGAAGTTACACCACTTCAAAAGTTTCTACATGTACAATTCAGTGACATCGATTACATTCTTCAGTTGTGCTGCTATTCTCACTATCCTT